TAGGGAACAGGCAGCTGAGATGATTTGTTATGTTCACTTTGCCATAGGTAACAGTAATAATACACATAATACAGAAATATTTAAGAAAGGAATAGCTCATTGATAATTCTGGAAAACAACAGCTGATCCTGCTAGCTTGTGCTTTGCCTCTGTATTAAGATGTATCTGCTTTTGGAGCATCTAGCCAAAAACAGGCACAGCAAAGAGACAGCAATCTGGTGTAGGTGGATATGGGCAGGGAAGAATTATTCTGTCTTAAGGCAACTGAAAGTCTGACAACTGGAAAAGTTCTAGGAGGGGAGAAAAGTATCTGACACAGATTCTGCCTCAGATCAAGCTCATTGTTTTCTGTGATCTCAGTATTTGATGTTTTTTACAAATATACTTTCATATATTCATTGAACATCACACCATATCCCCTCTTCTCTCTGGCTTTGCATAACTCAGCAGCCTTGGGCATGTCAGAAGGATCCAGGACATGAAGCAGCTGGGACATGCATGGAAGAGCTATGTGATGGTCCTCTGTTTACCCATCATTTACTCACAGAACAGCCTGTAGTGGGAACAGCTAATTAAGTCGGAAGGAAAAGTTTTGCTTTCTTGGTTTTTCTCTACTGTATCCTGGGGTAGACTTGGCCCTTTGATCTGTGTAATGCTCATGGTAGGCATGCTGTACTTAGACATAAAGCAGAAAAACAAGCCTGTGTCTTAATGGCCCTGGGCTTGTGCAAAGGAAAGAGAAGCACAGAGGCACAGCCAGAAAGTTCCAGCCCGAGACCCAGATCTGGACATTTTTACATGCTGTGTACATAATTCCCTTTGACTCCTTAAAAAATCCTAGCCCTGCATCATTTGAACACCCTGTCCCTTTACAAATGGCACGGCTCAAACCTCAGCTTGAAATAATTTAGAGCAGCAGCCCAGGTCAGGGCATCTGGAACTGCTTTTCATTTCCTTTGTGTGCTCCCCTTGATGAGGGACACTGCTGTGTTAATGGGGGTTTGTTCTTTTCTTTCAGGCTTCTCTTTCCCCAGTTGATGTCATGATTAGTGACATCAAAGTCACCTCCTAGTGAACCTTGGTGATGACATGACTAGAGGAGGACCCTTAGAGGCAGGAGATTAAGCAGCAAGTTAGCACTACTGGAAGAACAAAGCTCTCATTTTCATTCATATATACACAATCAAAAATGAGTGAAGAGAAGGAGAGATGGGAATTAGGTGATGCATTAGTAAAATTATCATTCAAAGGTTCTTTGCTCGAAGTTTTGCAAGAGGAATCAGTGGTTCTTTAATCTCCCACCTTGGGTATTGTTGATGCCATGTTATATTCTGGGCATGTTGAAATATAACACAGTGTAAGGAGACATGATTTGTTGGATAAGGCTTTATGTAGCACAAAAAGGCTCCTCTACTTTCCCTTTTCATTATTTACATTCCCAGAGAAAGTTATGTGTCCTGTGGGCTTTGCAGAGATCAATGGCTAACCTGAGCTTTCTGGCAGCTTCCTCTGAACCTGGAGAGGAGCTGCCTAGGTGTTGGCCTGAGGATTCTGAAGACTTAAGCTCAGTTCTGGTGCTGGGAGGAGGTATTTGAGAGAACCTGAGGTTGTGAGTCCTTAACACAGGTTTAGCAGGGAAATTGTACCATGGAGCTCTGAAGAGCAGAGAGAGAAGGGCACCAGTATAAACCAGTAAGCTGTACTGGGTAGTACTGAGCTGGTCTGGTCAGGGCTGCAGTTATGGGGGTGCTGGAAGTCAGGAATTAAGAGAAGCAGCTGAACTGAGTGCAGAGATCTCCCCTGGTGCTGCCAGTTGAGTGTGGAGCATGGCTGGCCAGTGCTCGGTCTGCTCCTCTCATGAGCTCTGTTAATAGCAGTTAGCACAGTAATTCCAAAGTAACTGGATATGCTGTAAACCATAGGCCTGGGCCACTCCTGCTGTTTTCCAGGTGTTTCAAGAGTAGCAAGTTTTATGGCCATGTCATCAGCTCTTTGCTCTATTTGCTGCTTCATTAGTTTTCATGCTGGGAGCACTCTGGGGGAGCAGAATTTGGAGGTGGGATTTGGCTGGGATGGCTCCTGTGAAGGGAACAGACAGTTAACAAGCTCTGTGGTTTCCTTGCTTGTACAAAGCTCCTTTATGACTCTCCTGTGGGTGGGATGTCAGAGCTGAGGATGTGCTTGGCAGGAGGGGATCTTTCAAAGGAAACTTTCACTGGAATAGAGAGATTTCCTTGGCTGGACCTGCAGGCAATGGGGCCCTCCTGTTGTCACCCACAGGAAAACAGTGTAGGTGATCTCTGGTCTCCTTCCCTTCCCTCCTGTTTCCCTGGGTTTAAGATCTGGAGACTCCAGGATCTTTTCCACCACTGATTCTAAATAAGACAAGCTTGACTTTGATGAGCCTTGAGAGAAACAACAGAAGTCAGATCTCTGCCAGCCCCATGCTATTGCAATTAGCAGAATTATGGCAAATTGTCCTGGGTTTCTGACATGAGAAAGCTGTTGCTTAGAGGTTTTTTTATTTTTCTTATTTTGACTGAGGAATGAACCTCTCATTTAAGAAGCTGAACTCTGTATCAATATCCAGAAGGGGTAAGAGTTGTTAAAGCTGTATTCATCAATTGCAAAAGAGAGCACATTTTATTTTGCTCTGTGCTATTTACAGCTGTTGTCCATTAGAAGTCCTCAGGAGCCTCATTCCCAGCTATAACTGCACAGCCCCATAAGTTTAGCTCAGCAATGAGCCTGCAAAACAGCACTAAATCATGGTGATGGGAGAAAGGAGAAAATGTTTGGAAATGGCAAAATGCAGCTGATGTCTTTGTGAAATCTGGCTTTTGTTTGTTGCTATTATAAGGTAGATGGCAATGCACAATTAACTGGAGAAGAACAGAAATAGTATCTTCTAATTTTGGGGGAAAAAAATCAGAGTGGCTGGTTCTGCAGGACCTAAAGGAGTCCTTGACAATCCATAAGTGCCTAAGTACACGTTGATGAAAATGCACCAACCCCCCCCCAGTATGATGAGGTGTAAGAATGGCAAAAAAAATCTAATATGTGGCTATTGAGAAACAGAGCCCCAGTTGCTTTACTGGACCAGTACAGGATTGCTCTGTATGAGCTCTTTGAGCTGGCAGTGCAGTTCACTCTTCTAGTGCCCACCAATTGCTTAAGAGGGAAGTGTGGATGTGGGATTATTTCCAAATCTGAATGTGTCCCTGTGTGATGTAAGTAAATTGTGCTGTGAAGTACATACTGAGCAGAACTGTGAAGAGTATGCAGGTAAGGAGAGAAATTAATGCTTATTCCTTGTTTGGACATGAAATGAGAAATTTCACCTGGATTCCCAGCTCTGACACAGCCTTTTCTTGGTCAGACAAACAGCTAAACATCCTTTATTACCCTCTGTATTTTTGAGGATGGTGTTCTACCTCCCTGTTTTACTATGATGGATTAATGATTTGTAACACATTTGGAAACAGAAGCATGGCTTTGGGAGCTAAGGACAAAGGCATGTAAGGTGCTAATTCAGCATTTGTTTACAAGGGCACTCAGCTGCTGCCTTTGGTTCTGCATTCTGTCCTGTTGCCTCTCCCAGTCCTGCCAGCTGGGGGCCTTCAGTCCATGAAGGGAACAGAGCCTGAGCTCTGACTGTCCTGCTGGAGCGGGACAAACCTGCCCTGGCATGGCTGTGATGCCCTGAGAGATAAAGCTTTCCACTGAATAAATCTGTCAGCTTGACTTGTGATAGTGAATGCTCACAAAAGGATCATTTTAAGACAGATAATTGCTTTCTCCTTTCCTTTTATTTTACTGTGCCTGGCAGGTGTCTCCTTCTGCCTTCTCCTGTTTCCTTGGCCCATCCCTGAAGTGTGCTCAGCACAGATGGGATCTTCAAAGAGTCTGCTGTCAAACTTGGTCTTTTCTAAGCATATGCATGCTGAGAGTTTTTGGAGGCTTGTACCCAGACCAAATGTGTTTAGTGGCTTTTTCACAGGAACAGCAAATAACATATCTGATAACAAGGAAACTTTTGCTGTTAAGTTGCAAGTCTGTTTTGAAATAGGTTCAGTAGAGATTATCAATGAACTGTTCAGTAAAAATTTGATTTACTCTTCGGGTTTTTTTTAAAAAAAGCAACCCTCCAAATCCCCTCCCCTACCTCAAATTGCTACAGTTTATGTTTCCTATGCATGAAAGTAGTGCTACAAACAGATGAACTCTTCTAGTTGCAACTTCTGAAAATCAGCCTTTCTAATCTGAGTGAGCATCTATTTTATATAAAACTGAAGAAGTCTTTCCACCAAAACCAACCTCTTGCTTTAGCCATGTGCATTGTTATTTCTAGCTTTTCTTGCATTGTTATGAAATAATGGTTAGGTTTGGGTACTCAACCTCTGCAGCTCTGATGAACATATTAGTGCATTTTCTTTAATTATATCAGTTTAGTTCAATTAATTATGATTTTGACCTTACGACACAAATTATTTCCAGAGATCAGGCAGCTTGCATGTCCTTGGAGCCCCTTATGGGTGGGCAAATCTGCTTAGATATTTAGAAAGCTCTGAATTGTTAATGGTGAAATACTGAAAGTGGAGCAGGACCTTAGACAATTAAATAACTTCTTGCTGCCTTTTAAACCTTAATGAAATTGGATGGGATCAAACTTTCAGTAATTGCTAGCAAGTATGGTAAAGCTGTTTGGAGGCAGTAACCTGCACCTGTAGAATGCTATCTAATGCTACATGTAAATATCTAGAAGTTATCACAGAATAAACAGGGAGATTAGCTCTGTGCTGGTTCTGAGGACCAAATCTGTGGTCAGTTTATAAACAGCACCTTGAGAAAATATCTGGAACGTCTAGGGATATGTATTTTCCTTAGAATTCATTTTGGATTGTCATCTAAATTCGAAAGGAATAAAATCCACTTGCAAAGGTCTTATTCAAAGAAAAGCCCTGTTTAGTTTGGGGGTGTTTTTGCTTTGCTTTTTGCAGGCAGCCGTCCTTACGTGTTCCTCACAGCCCGCGTTCACCCTGGGGAGAGCAATGCCAGCTGGGTGATGAAGGGCACCCTGGAGTTCCTGGTGAGCAGTGATCCCATTGCTGAGCTCCTGAGGAAGTGTTTCATCTTCAAGATTGTGCCCATGCTTAATCCTGATGGAGTCATCAATGGCAAGTGAGTTGTGACGTGTGCTTACCCTGGGGTTTGTCTGTGCACCCAGCAGGTCCCATCTTCATCGTTTGTGCTGGGAGAATTCCCTTTGCCCCGTGTTTTATTCATCCTGTTATCAGTCCTGTATGGAAAATGTGAATCTGAGACAAATGCTGCCCTGCATTTGTCAGGTGCACGTGGTTCTGTACTGTCTGTGGTCAGAAGATCTCTCAGCTCCCTGGAAGGAGTGTTAGTGGTGCTGGAGAAACAGGACCTTTACTGACAAATGGAGGTTTATGCATTCTGCTAAAGCAGCAGGGCAGAATACAGCTGCAAAGCAGATATGCTTGGGAAAAACTGACTGTAATTAATGCTTTGTATAACCTGGTGGGAGAGGATGAATAAGATTTCTTAAATTTTCACAGAAATATTTCTGTAGAGTGAACCTTCCTCCTTCTCCCACCTTCTTTTCAATCTTCCTTCCCACATGTTTCCTCAGAGATGCTGAATCTGATCTTGGAAAAATATTGATTCCTTTTTGCATTCTTTGCCTTATACCCTCCCTACCCACCCACACTAAGTTCCCTCTGCCTGTACATGACTGCAAAAGGTACAACTCTGCTCCTAATATTTTGAGCTGAAATAAATATTGTTGTGTGAAACCTTGAAGAGGGCACTAAGCTAAGGTAGGCTTATCCTTTGCTGGAAAACAAATCTCCTCCTCTCTGCAGACGGTGGAATTTGTTCACTTTGAGTGTTTGTGGAGTGGCAGTGTGTTAATAACTGTTGGTCCTGCCCAGTGCAAGGGCAGGACATCATGATCACATCCCACCTGTGGCTGCTGTCTTGACCTGCTGATGGGGGCTTGTAGGGTTTGCAACGGCTGTGTCCCCTGGCTTATTGCAGAGGAGCACACAAATATCAAAGCTGAAAGATGGGCTTCAATAAGCACTGGAACACAGCAAAGTGTAGAGGAACATTTTTTCTTAAGCTGCATGCCCACACCTGTTTTGGGGTTGGGTTGTGATGAAGGAGTGTTATGGGAAGAGAAAAGCGAATCCTGAGCAGCAACTGCATTGAGTTGGGTTCCAAACTCATCTGAGTTTGGGGTGAGTGGCTCACCAGGGAGCACCTTGGGCTTTTCTGACTGTCTCTAGTCTGTGAAGCCACAGATTTTGGCCTGCTGTGCTCCCCAGGGCCTGGGTCTGCCAGAAGTCTGGGAGCACTGTTCAGAGTAGCTGGGTACTGCCCCAGGGTATTTGAGGCCTCTGTTGGCACCAAATGCTTTCTTGATCCTCATAGACAGAAGGAGCAGGAAAACAATTGTGGCTTTTCCCCCTTATTTTTTTCCTCTCACAACACTTAGTTAAACTTTCCATCAGATGCAGGACTGGAGGGAATAGCTGACCTTTTCCTCCAGCTGTCAGGAACCAGCACAGCAGAGAAGGGACCTTCAGGAGGGAGAATGTGGCTCTTGGTGACACCTGAATGAAGGGTATGTGTCACACAGGAGATGTGTTTTGTGATCCATGGAGCTTGAACTGTAGTTAAATCTGGTGATGAAGAGTTTAGTAAACCAGAACAGGGACTTGGCCACGTCTCCTTTATTGATCATGAGGCCTGGGGAGGGGAATAAATAATTTCTTTATGCTTTAAATTAAATACATCTCTCTTGTGAATCCTCCTGTGGATTCTCTCTCCTCCCATATCTTCTTGTTTCTTTATACGTATGCTTTTTAGTAGCCATGGTTCCTCCTATATTAAATGAAATATTTTTGTTCTGGGGCTCAGGTTTACTGGTAGCATGTAAGAGTGTGGGTGTGTGAGAGCTTGTGGGAGTGTGTAAGTTGGCATCATCTTCCTCTTCCTTTACCTGATTTTAATGTTTCCTTTTTATTTTCATCTGCTTCCCTTTTCTCACTCTTCCCTCCTGTTGAATCAAGGAGGCTTTTCATTGAAAGAACTTGATTAATTTTGTAAAATAATGAACCAATGAGTGGAGATGGGAGCTGGGGAGTCTTTTTTAGATGAAGGAAATTTATTGGAAGCCACATGATTTCTTCAAAGGCGTGGGGTAACCATAGTAGCAGCTAGGTAGAGGAAATCCTGGTTTTTCTTTTGGAATATAGCCATGGACTATTCTTTATCTGTTTTAAAAACATCCTGTTCTCTCTGGCACCTGCCCTCCCCCAGCACAGGCTGAGTGATCTTTGCATCTCCAGGGTAAGGCAGGTGAGGTGCTGGGTTTTCTATCTCTCCCTTGATGCTCCCTCCCCTTTAATTTACTCTGCCTGTTCCTTGTTTACTCAGGGGCTTTGCTCATTACCTCCTCAAGCCTATCAGAGAAAAGCTTCAGTTGTTTGATAATTACTGACAGAAAGAGAGAGAAATGCCCACTAAAATCCCTCCTAGAACAGCTTTCCTCTGCACAGTCTCAAAAAGTACAAAGGGAAAAAAAGGAGTGTGCTCCCACTTAACCTTTGGAGCCTTCTGCTGGGAAGGACGATCTAAGGAGGAGGAGAATCACCACATTGGTCTTTATACCCAAAGACACTATTTGTATAAATAACCTTTTTCTCCCTTGTATTAATGCTTACTCTCCTGAATGGGCACATTGTGTTCTCTGGGCAATAAGAGGCAGAAAGGATCAGGGATAGACAAAAAAGCTAATGGCTGGTCTAAGGAGTCAGTTTATGATGCAGAGCTGCATCCTTAAGGACTAAATCTTGAGGTGATGTCACACAAAGCTGTACAAGTGCAGACATCCCTCCTTCTCTTTATTGCTTCTCTGTGGTCAGAGGGTTGAAGGAGAAGTTTAGTTCTAAATTGGTGCCATGCACTCTGCAAACACACTCCAAAGACTCTCCCCAGACTGGTTAATCTATGATGTGTTTGTTTCTCTAAGGACGGAGCAGAGATGTGAGAAGGCTGGGAAAAGAGTGGTTTTGAATTAATGGAGTCTCTCTCTAGGAGAGAGGTACTGCAGGAGTTGTGTGCTGCTCTTTGGCAGATGCTCTATGAGTCTGTCCCCATGTTTTCTTCAGAAGTTCTGCACCTAAATTGTCACCTTGCCAAAAGTAGTTGGGTAGGCATGTATGGAAGGCGAAGCATACCTGGAAAAAAAGAGCATTTCTAAATTGTGAAAGGCTCAACCCTCACACACGCTGGCTGTGCTCTGAGATGCACATTGTGAGGTGGCAAGAGCATGTGCACTGGTGCTTTCCTAAAGACCTCAGAGGTGCCAAAGATGCAAGTTCTGTGAACATCTGTACTGGGATGCTTGGTGGCTCTGGGACGTGCACGTGAAGTGTGGGCTAATTTTCCTCAAGTGGAGCAGGAATTTTTACAGCTCTTTGCTGCTTTGGTGCCTCAGGTGTTGCTTCTGTTGCCTTTCACTGAGAGGGCAGTGATGGATTTGAGAGCTTAGGGTACCAAATGTGGCCAGTGTCTGCACAGCACGAGATAAAATATGAGCCGCAGTATTTCTTAGCTCTCATTTCTGTGAATTGTTCCTTGGTGGAACAACCAGAAATGGTGTCTGGCCCTGCACCACACACTTGTCTGAGTTTCCTCTCTGCTGTGGGAGGTGCCTCAGTTTCATCCAAGGCCCTTTGTGCTGTGCTGATGTGACAGCCCATCCTTGGCTCTCCTTCAGTGATAAACATCCCCCTGCAGACAGCTGCACCCCAGGACTCTCCCTTCTGACAGCACTTCCAGTGCAGGGTTGTTTATTCCTTCCTTTATCAGCCAGGGCTGCTGGGCCCCCTGAGTTATTAGCTCTATTCACTCATTGTCAGTGTTTCCTCCTTCGTAAATATGCCCCCATATGTCTCTGCTCCCAAGGAACATGCTTTCTTTTCTATTTACTGCTTTTCCCAGGCCCCCACCTCCTCATTGCTCTCTCCACCCAACGGCCCAATAACAGCCAAGGAGATAAATAAGCTCCATAACTCTTCCCAGCTATTATTTTTTGTTGTTGTTGTTGTTGTTGCCCTGCATGGTAATATATATAATAACAGGGAAACAAATCTTATTACTAAAGTAATTACAATAAATAAAAAGCTGAGAGGGGAGATGAAGGAAGGGTCTGTCAGGGGAGTGATTGCAGTAGGATTTTTTAAAATTTAATTTACTTGAGATGTTCTCTGCCACTTTGCTGATACCCTGCTGAGGGGGGCTGTGACTAATTAGCAGCCAGCTGTTGTTTTAACACCCTCACCTAATTTATAGTGTGCCTGAGCCTCTAAAACAGGAGCCTGTGTGATATCATTGTTTGTGGGACTCAGCACCAGCCTTGTGTCAGTAGTTGGCTTTATTGCTTGGTGCTTTTGTTTCTCAGAAGCAGTATAGCTGAAATTTTGGGTGCTTTGCTGCAATTCCTTTTATCTTCAGCATATCTCATGTGCTTTCAGGAGTTTGACCCAGAGTTTGACCCAATTTGTTGCTTATAACCGCTTGTCCCAGTGTCCACCCTAATAACTGAGCATCACAACTGCTGCCTTTTGCCTGAAAAATGTGCTGTGGACAGGATCTAGGGTTTGTTTAAATTCTGGGGCCTCATTCTCCTGTTGGCAGGTTTCTCATGGAGGTACCATATTGTTCTTGCTAATAGAATGGAGATTGCAGCATCATCTGTCTTCTAAATGGTCGTGAAATCTAATTAGTTAATGGCCATATTAAAACCTGGAAGGATCCAAGGCATTGTTGCATGTTTCATCAGTCTCCCAGCTGCCAATTGCCAAAGCATGGGCAGTCTTTGTGAGCTCTCACAGGCTGAAGGTGCCCAATGAGTTGCGTGTGTGTCCCTGTGCTCTTCCCTGTACAATTTATGCTGCTCATGCAAGGTCACCTGGAAATTTTACTACAAAAATCACTGGGTGTGGGCTCAGAGATGTTACTGCCTTGGACTGCTAAACACTTCAGCTTCTAGCCTTGGGAACTATTTCATTTTGGATAGGTTCTGCCTTGCATTTTCAAGTTCACATCTAATATTCATGCTAACAGGTTGTTCCACAGGCTCAGAA